TAAAGTGGTCAAAACCAGTACATCTACCCTAATGTTATTAAAAAAATTTATTTGTTGTAACTGATTTTACAATTTAAATTATAGATTTGGAGCACATGAAATATATACCTCTTATTCTCTAAAAAATGAAAATAATAATAAACTTGACTGGTACAAATAATATAATTAATCTAATTAATTTTTCGAGTATTCTTCTCTTAATGATAGCAGTGAATTTGCCGAAGAAGCTAGTAAGATCGGCCGTGAAGTATAGAAACGTAGATCTCTGATCATCAAGAATGTTTTCCTCTTCACCGTTATCCTAAAAAAGTAAATTCGTTGAGAATTATATAAAAACAATCCCACATAGCACGGCTTCTTTCTGTGAGATTATTGTGAGGATATCTGTAGAGTTTGTTAGGTTACCGAGTAAGCTTGCAGTAAACTTGAGGTAATCTTATAACTTCAGCCTTAGAGTAAGCTTATACAGGAAAGTCGTGATAAGTTTACATGGTAACGTTGTGGTAAGCTTACACGGTAAGGTTGTTATAAGCTTCCCGTAAGGTTACTGTAAGCTTGCTGTAATATTAATAAAAGTTATTAATTAACAACATTCTATGTTTACAGTAACCTTACAGCAACTTTACATCAACCTTACAGTAATCTAAAAAGAAGCTTACAGCAACCTTACCGTGTAGGCTTACCACGTTAACTTACCACGACTTTACTGAGTAAGATTACCTTAGCTTTACTGTATAAGCTTAATGTAAGGCGGAAGTTTTAAGTTAACCACAAGTTTACTGTAGGCTTACACGGTAACCTTATAAACCCTACAGATATCCTCACAGTAACCTCACAGCAAGAAGCCGTGCTATGTGGGATATATATGTATATATATATATTTATATAATTAAAGTAGAGCAATGTAACAGTTAAACTATATATATTAAATAATAATTAAGATATAAATACATTTATGCATGCTTTTTTTGATGTCTTCATATTACAGTTCGTCAGAATCTCGCGGCAAGTCTTCTTTATAAAAAACTTTCATCATTTCTAGCATAGCAAGTACTTGCATCTTTTTTTAAGTTCTATTTTTCTGTAACAAAAGTAGATAATTTAAGTTTACATAAATGTTACAAGCTTCGTCAATCCTAATATTACAAATGTAATACTCATCTTTTTTATGGATGATTCCACCAAAACAATATATATTTAAATTTCTGAAAAGGAATTCCATTAATTTTATGCGTCCTAAAACAAGACAAACATATTAAAACAACCCCTATGTAGGGATACCAGATCGCCTTCAAGCAACCTTGCATAGGAGTAGTAAAACAAAAAAACCTTAAAAAGTTATCCGCAGTCACGGAGCGAAAAAATAAGTTTTTAAAAATTCTTTCATAAAATGGCAGAAGCTCAATGTCATATTTTTCAATGTAATAGAACATTTCTTAATTAATAAAAAAAAATTTACCACATCAAAATTTTCTTTGATTAAGGACTTCTTTATTATGTGAATATTAAGAAAATAGATTTTTTTTAAATGATGACTGCGGGTAACTCCTAAACAACAATTTTTTTTTAATTTTACGAGATAGGTGGAACATTTGCAAACCCTTAGAGGCACGCACGTTTTCTGGTCGACCCACTAAAAACCACACCCTTTAAGGAGGATTCCGCATGAAAATTTTGAAAAATATAAATGTTAAAATATATAAAATTTAACATTTTTTTCTACTTCACTTTATTATAAAATTTAAAAACTTTTTACAAAGTCAAAAAAAAATCAGAAATATTAAAAATAGTTAATTTTTTAAATTATCTTAGTATGTTGAGGGCGGCATAAATTAAAATTAAGCTAAAATTATTGTACTCATAACTACAATTACATGTAAAAGTCAAAGTTTAAAAAATGACACAAATTTAAACAAATATTTAAAAATTTCTTTGATAAATTAAGGATAAAAAAATTTTGAAAAGTTGAAAAAAATTGTCATGAAGAATCCTCCTTAACTAGTCCTAACTAAACCTTGCAGAACCGACTTCTGGTCTTCATCCAGACCTACGACATTTCATGGAGGGAGACTTCGCATTTACCAAATTTTATAAAGATGATATAAAAATGCATAAAAAATTTTAAACCGCGTGTCTGTCAGCATTGCTGTTTAAACCCCCGACCAAAAAATGAAAAGAAGTTCAATTTTACAGAAAAACATATACAAACAAAAAAAAGCTTACGAATTATATTTTTGTAATACCTCTTTAAAATAATTATAATCATCTGAATTATGAAAAATAACACTTAATATCAATATCATCTCTTTGGGAATAAGCACAACACATTCACACTAACATAATTTATAACATTTTCGCATTTTTCTCACACAAAGTTTATTTAAAACTTTGCATACAAATGACCCGCATTGGATTGGAAAGCAAAGTATTTTTTAAAAGCAACAAATGAAACTTGAAATAATTAGTACGCGATTTTAAACTACTTTTAATGAACTATACAAATGTTGTGTAAAAAATTTAAACTACTCTAAACTTTGCTTTCACAATACTCTTCAACCATCAAGCTTAAGTGAACAGAAACGATTCCTTTCTTTACTGTTGTTATTGTTATATCTGGTGCTAAGACATTATGATACGAAACAAAAATTCTACTTTCCGTTGAAGTTACAAATTTCACGTATTGCGTATTATACGCTCCTCCAAGATCCTGAAATTCTTTTCCGATAAAGCTAGCAATAGTCTCTTCTTCTTGTCGATAAGATATTACATCTTTTATAATAATAAATTTGTTATTTCGACAGTATGTAATTGCTTTTTGAAAAAAATTTACTTTAATCTAATATTTGAAATACACATATAGATATATATTAAATGAAATAAATCAAAAATATATTAAGTAATAGAATATAAATATATTAATAGAATAAAACTCTAAATTTTTAAGATTTTTAAATACCTAATAATTTAGTTATTTTGGTTTGGAAAATTGAATCTATTCGTTTCTTGTCAAAATTTGAATTATGAATTTTTAAAAATTAAAAAGAAAATAACAAATAAATTTTAAAATTTGGAGAGGAAAAAAATGTTTAAATGGAATGTTTAACGGTTTAAAAGTTCGTTTATCCTTTTTTCTTTCTTCAATCGGTTTCCCAGCAGTTGCTTAAGTGAACCGCAACTGTTGCTTTCTTCGCTGTTGTTATTATTATACCTGGCGCTAAGACATCATGATATGAAACAAAAATTCTATTTTCCGTTAGAGTCACAAATCTCATGTATTGCGTATTATACGCTCCTCCAAGATCCTGAAATTCTTCTCCGATAAAGCCAGCAATAGTCTCTTCTTCTTGTCGATAAGATATTATATCCTTTATAATAATAAATTTCTTGTTTCGGCAGTATGCAATGTGATCACAGTATTTGAATGTTCTATTCGTCTTTTTCGCATAAGGTACTACATGTACAATTGCTTTTTGAAAAAAGTTTACCATTGTGTTCTCATCTATTTCTACTCTTGCGTTTATTATCCGCTCCACTTCTTCATGGTTTGCAAGTCGTATCCTTGGCCTTCCTTTTCCAACGAAATAATGCCCTTCTGGCATTCCTGGAGGTACATCGACAGTTTTTTTCTCTAAAAGATCTTCTATTTCCTTTCGTGTAATTCGGCTAATGTTCTCCTCTTCTGCGGTGCGCAAAATAAACTTCTTCATAAAAAAACGCGTTACAATTTGTTCGGCTCGGTGATTCGGACTTTTAATTGAATCTGACATGGGTTTATTCATTGACTCAAATGGCAATGTAGAGAACGCCCATGCAGGACCCCAATCATTTGTTGATTTGGGAGAATGCTGACTAAGGTGTAAGTTAAATGACATGTTCCTTTCCTTATATAAGACCTCAGTCTCGTTGACGAATTCTTCAAGGTTGGTTCTCGCTTTTCTCAAATCTTCATTAGTTATTGACGCACTATTTAAAATGAATGTCGCTTCGCAATCCTTAGCTTGATGGTTGAAGTACGCTTCTGGTAAAATACCATCGAGACAAGGCAGCATATAATAAAAAGTCCAATTACGCCATTCCGTAGCTTTCCATTTTGCCGATGTTTGTATGGCCCGGGGTTTTCTTGAAATTCTGGAAGGTGTCTTGATTGTCGTTAAAATTTTGTTAATTTCCTTCTTCTTTCTTGGATTGCCGATGTACCATTGTGTTCCACGATCCTTCATGTGTGCTTCAAAAAATGTTTTCGCGTTTCCTAAATAATCCTTGTGGGCAATATCTACAACCTGACTATTAATGAGTTGGAATTTTCTTAGACTTCCTAATCTTGAGCAACCTAATACACCTCTAGATTCTCCGCCATTTATCATTACTTCTTGCATGTCAGCACGCATTGTTTCCAGTGTACGCAATTCTGCCCTCTCGGCGTTAAAAATCCATCGATTGTCGACACTTTTCCCTTCCGTTAAGCAGAATGGGCATCCGTAACGTCCATTGTACTGTTGACTCTAAAGACATATGGTCGAGCAACTGAGTCGCATGTAAAGATAACAACAATAAATTTGCTGATTACCTCTAGCTCTGCAGTTGGTCTCCAAGGTATCCCTACGTCATACAGTGCATTTATGTCGTCAACTATAGGCTTCATTATCACTGAAATATTAGGTTTCTCTTTACCAATACACTCCTGCCAAAAAAATATTCCTCTTCCTAGCGTGAGGTGATAATTCATTAATTTGCACAAGAAAAGAAATGCAATTAGCTTTCGATGATTTTGCAAGTTGAAATCCGTCAATCCATAATTGTAGGGTAAAATTAAATCCGCTTTGTAAATATTCTTCATAGTCGTTTATATATCGCTCTCCATCAAATATATCTTCCTTGGCGTTAGGGTCTATCTTCACTCTGCTTTCTCTGTACCTTAATGCTTCAGCTGCCTTCGGTGAATCTAGAAATTGTTTTATCTGAGGAGCTAAAGGAACTTGAATAAATGTACCGACATACGTTTAATCTTTATTCGGACCGCACGCTTCGCAACCACATTCTCTCTCAACATTCTTTCCATTTCCGACAAGCTCATGGCACCTTTCACAATATAATTGATATAATAAATTTGAGTCGTCTCTTCCTAGCATCTTCCATAATCCTTCCTTCGTTGTAGGTACGTTTATATTTACATAGGTCTTCTTTAATATTCTAAGCCTCCGTATAAGTTGATCATAGGTGTTATTGTATCTTACAGTGTGTGTCAATTCCATAAGGATGTGATCAATTGCAGTTAATTCTCCATTACTTCTTAATGGAGCATGCAACCCATTTAATCCACCGAATCCTTGAAATACTGGATGCTGTAGAAATTCTTCTTCTTCTGGATCACTTTCGGAATTCATTTCTTCGCTTTCATCATCTTCTACATCTTCATCATCATTGTTTCTTCCTTCTTCGTGGTCCCCATTTTCGTCATCTTCTGTTTCTTCATCTTCTACATCTTCATCATCATTGTTTCTTCCTTCTTCCTGGTCCCCATTTTCGTCATCTTCTGTTTCTTCATCTTCTACTTCGTTTCCTTCTTCGTGGTCCCCATTTTCCTCATTTTCTGTTTCTTCCTCTTCGTTTCCTTCTTCGTCACTACTAGGGAGATTGAATCTCGGAATTTGTAGTACAGCTTCTTCGCTGCCAGATAGTCCATTTTGTGATTCCATACCATCAGATTCATCAACTGCATTCTCACTCTCAACATTGCTATCGTCACTAACTTGAGCATTTTCTTCAATCAACATACTTTCATCCTCTCTCTGATTCTGTTCACTCCCAGATTCAACACCATCAGATTCATCAACTACATTCTCACTCTCACCATTGTTATCATTACAAACTTGCGAATTTTCTTCATTCAATATACTTTCATCCTCTCTCTCATTTTCTTCACTACCCGATACTCCGTTTTGTGATTCGACACCATCAGATTCATCAACTACATTCTCACTCTCACCATTGTTATCATAACTAACTTGAGCATTTTCTTCAATCAACATACTTTCATCCTCTCTCTGATTCTGTTCAATCCCAGATTCATCAACTACATTCTCACTCTGACCATTGTTATCATAACTAACTTGTGCACTTTCCTCTTTCAAGATACTTTCATTCTCACTCTCATTCTCATCATTCAAACCTGATATTCTACATCTTTTAGAAGAACCCGCTTGCGAAGTCTCCCACTCCATTCTACGTGCCGTGATTCTTGCGTAATGGAATCTGAAAAAGAAAATGATATAAACATTAACATGTATATATATATAGTATATACATATATCGCCAACACCTATTACTATTCACATTAATGATTACTTTTTTAAAGGCTTGCAAGTATTAAAATTATTAAAATTTTAACTATATTTAGAGGTTATGTTTGAACTAAGGCCTTAAATCCTGGAAACCTATGCTCTACAATTTTAAGGTTATGTTTGAGATCTGACCTGGAAGTATGCCTTTGAACCGTATGCCCTTGAATTGTAAGGTTATGTTTGATCCATGACTAAAATACTAATATAGGTATATAAGAGAGATTCTTTTTCAATCGCCCCAGCCCAAAAAGTCAATGTTCTGGGATTGGCTTCATACTTTGGTAAATTGTTGTCCTATATGATAGTAATAAATCCCTAAAATATAAACTCATTAAAAAAATATGTGACGGTACAAAATGTGGCTGACCCGACATTTAACCCATCTACTTTGGGAGTTTTGAATGTCGGATGGCCAGTGATTTGTCCAGGGAAATTGACCGTGGCATTTTCTCGCAAGCGACACCGCGTTACGAAGGCTTAAATACTCGCCGTCGAGTAAGTGAAAGCAGTTCCAGTTCAGCCTTCGAGCAATACGCAACAAGGAGAGAGATCAAGTGACGCACCGAAGCAGTCCCCCAGAGGTCTCACCAGGTAGCAGGCAAGGTACGTGGACAACTTCTCTTGGGCCCGCCATCTTGGCGCTGAGGAAGTTGTAAGAGAAAAACTTTTCCACTCTCTAACCTACATTTTTCTCCTTTTTATCCTCCTCTGGTGCACGTCGTTTCGGCTGCTAGAGGAAATTATTCCCTCTTTCCATGATGCGCGCCATCTCGGCCGTCAGTCCATAATATAAGTCGCGAGCCCCCTTTTTTAGTGCAAAGTTAAACAGGTGCAATGAACCACGAGTGAAACCTACTTATGGTGAACGCCGTCCCGGCTGCCATACGTCGATAAGTTAACAGAATTAGTGATTCTCTAGTTCGTATACCTCCAGTCGGTAACTTAACTACGATGCACGCCATCTCGGCTGTCGTAGAAGCAAATCAATCTAGTGAAAGAAAATTTCCTTACCTTCGGTGCACGCCATCTCGGCTGCCGTAGAACTACATTAATTAAATATAAAAGAAAACTTCCATACCTACCTCGACTTATGACCGAATGTCGATTAACCCCTAACCGCGCACGCTATCTATGAAATTACCGACTCTGGCTAAATCCATGATCCAGCATCGGTAAACTTACCTTAGCCTACTTTATCTAGGACGCTATGATCAGTAAGTGAAGGTGCTTACCTACCTGAGTTGTTCGGTTCGGTCTCCCTCGCGAATCTCCTCACGAAAGGAAAAAGGGAGTTCAGAAGCGAGAGCTGTCTTGGCCGTCTTTCCGGCGTGAGCTACACTTGGCCGTTCAAGTAAGAATGAGAGCTGATTAGGCCGTCGTAATCATGAGTGCTAGGAATGGCCGTCACAGAATTCACCCCTTTTCTTTAATTAACTAGTTACTTACCCGTAGAGCGACTTCGAACCGTCGAACCTGTAAAAGAGAATAAAAAGACATGAGTAGAAATAATTTGATTCTATTTTTTATTAATATGTAGTACGAAATGATATTTAGTTTGATTAAGGTGTTAATTAATTTGTTACTTACCCGTAGATAGACTTCGAACCGTCGAACCTGTAAAAGAGAGTAAAAGGACATGAGTAGAAATAATTTGATTCTATTTTTTTTATTAATATGTAGTACGAAATGATATTTAGTTTGATTAAGGTGTTAATTAATTTGTTACTTACCCGTAGATAGACTTCGAACCGTCGAACCTGTAAAAGAGAGTAAAAGGACATGAGTAGAAATAATTTGATTCTATTTTTTTTTATTAATACGTAGTACGAAATGATATTTAGTTTGATTCTATAATTAAGGTGTTAATTAATTTGTTACTTACCCGTAGGTCGACTTCGAATCATCGAACCTGTAAAAGAAAGAAGAATGATGTGAATGGATTTTAATTATTTAATTTTCTTAAAGCCCAAGGAAGGGAAAAAGACTGTTTATTTTTTATTTTAGGCATAATGCAAAGTGACATTTAGTTTGATTTTGTGATTAGAAGATGTTAATTAGTTACATACTTACCCGTAGATGAACCTCGAAACGCCGAGCCTGTAATGCTGATTCCACAAATGGAACGCGCGTCTGACGCGCGACAATTGATCGTACGTATACGGAGCAGTATTCGTATTATGCGAGAGAGTCCGTCTGTTGAAGTACAGCAAAGTACATTAAAGATTTCAAATCTATTAAAATATACTGTTGTGATTAAAAACTGTTTGAAACGCAGTAGATGGAAAAAATAAAATTTCTATTAATTTTTTTTTCGAAAGCTGATAGAATTGCAAAGAAAAAGACACATAATTGAAGAGGTTGTGTTAAGTTTTCTGTTAGATATATATATACCCAAATAGCAAAAAATATTCCAATCATATTCCAGGAATATTCCATTGGAACATCCATATTCCAGGAGCGTGTAAATGTCTTACCTCAGATTATTCCTATGACATGAATATTCCAGGAACATTTCTTTGAAAGATATTATTCAAATATTTCTTCTATTATTCCAAAGGAATGTTCCTGGAATATTCCATAGGAATATTCATGACATGTTCTAAAATTTTTTTAAATATTCCAAAGGAATATTTCTGAGGTAAGACATTTACACGTTCCTGAAATATACATGGAATATTCCGAATGTTCCAATGGAACATATTTGGTGTATATATATAAAAGAAAATATGGGTTTTACATGCTTTTTCAATTTTGTAATTTCTCCAAAGCAAATTAATATTTTTTAACGTTCTTGAACTTGTTTTGATCGTTATGTAGCGTGGAATTTCAATTTGATACTAACTTTTTGATACATGTTCTCCCGTTTCAGTTGCAACGGGTGAAAGTTATCTTTAAAAAATCAAAAATCATTATCAGTACGGAAATTTTATAAATGGTGAGGTGAAATTTTTACATTGAACATATACATAGAATCAGAAAGTTGTTTTAATTTCTATGTTTATATTTGATTTTTGAAAATAACTTTTCGAAAAAATTGGAATTCTATATTATTAAGTAACGATTAAAATAAATCCAAGAAAATTAATTGTCATTGCAGAAATTAAAAAATTAAGAAATACAAGGAAGGCCGCTATATTTGCTTACATATCTAACAGAAAACTTAACATAATTTCTTCAATTAGTTGTCATTTTCTTTTGAATATTATCACCCTTCAGGAAAAGAATGGACAGAAAATTTATTTAATTAATTTATAATATAATATATTACAATAATATATAATAAATAAAAAAGAAACTAATACGTGACATCAATTTTCTATTTCCATTAACTTGGTCCGTATGAAACTAATACGGATTAACTTGGTCCGTATAAAACTAATATGCGTATCAAGTTGATACGTACCAAATTAATACGTATGAACTTGATATGTATTGACGAGTTCTTCAATTTAATATACGAATTTTACAAAATGTTTCAAAATTTTGGCCTTGCAGAGGGTAAAAAACGATAATTCATCTTCATCTGTACTCGTTATTTTATTCTGAGTAATAACAGAAATATACACGATTAAATGTCATAAAAAAACTAATCCAAAAATTGTAAAAAACTAATATTCTGTAGAAAATTGAGATACGCAAAAAATGTACGGTGGTAGAAGTGGACCAATCATCAATACCTTCACTAAAAATTTCCTTCTGAGTAAGAAAAAAAATATAGGTAAACAATTTTATTTTTATAAACAATATATTATTACAAAAATGTTGCACAAATTTGGGTTTTTAAATAAATTTTTAAATGTTAGAGGCCTGTTGACGTAGAAAACGACCATTCCAAATTCAGTAAATAAAATGAAATGAATAAAAAATTGTTTATAAAAAAAACTTTTATTTCAAAAAAATAATGATTAATTATAAATTGTTTTTAATATTATGTTGTCGTCAAATTTTCGAAAAGTGTACAATATTTTATCTTTCATTTCTTCCCTCTTACGGACATCCAAGAGATGACTTGACTCGTCGTAATTGTCTATAGAATGAATGAATTTTCTATTATTAAATAGTTTGGGAACACATGCCATTGAAAAGGTGATGTGAAATATTTCAACATTACAAGTGCAATTTTTTAATTTAAATTAATTTTTTTTACCCTTTTTTGTATGCCTTGCTGCTGCAAAAAGCATGTTCTTGAGGCCCAGAATTCAACCCCCGTTGGATGGGAAGATTTTGGCCTTCCATAAGTGCCTAGACAAGAAATTGAAACGAATTCTTGGAGAGGAGGACATTTGCCATTGAAGTATAGTCGGGGACTTATATGCCTTTACTTTCATCCTTGTCTAACTCACATATTGTAATAGCCAAGTGTATTAGGCAAGGACATAAGTCAACGAATATAAGTATTTTTTTAAGAGATGCTATTAGTCAAGATTAGTTATCTTCCACTAACAAAAAAGTTGTATTTAATTTTTATTTTCTTTTAAAACATGTACTTTACGTTATAAAAATCAAGTAAAATTCAACTTTACCGTTTTTTAAATGTAACTTATTAAGGTCATGTTATTCAGTGTGACGTATTCCCATAGAAAAGTATATGCGACACGTGACCACTGAATAACATGACCTTAAAAAACGAATTTCTACTATAGTTTCAGATGAAAAGAAAATTAATTTTTGTAAAGAAAAAAAAAAGTTTTTCCTGAACCCTGTAGAAAAAGAGCTTATTTGTAGACACCTTTGTAGAATCTTGCAGAGAATTTGTAGTTGGTGCAAATTCTGTTGTAGCATCATACACTTTAACAATACTATTGTAGTGATTATTTCGGTGATAGGATATTCGTATAGGCTCCTTGTTCGTTTCGGACAATTCATTAAAAACATTGCTGGGCTCTGAAATGTTTTAAAAGTTATCAATAAATTTTTTTAAAAATAAATTTCCAAAATTAGCCTTAACTGAAATTAGTTTGCACTGATACATTTGTTCAGATTAATAGTAGTTTAAATAAGATATAATTTAGATAAACATAAAAAAATACCTGTACTATATCGAAACAGCTTGACAGTTCTATTATACATTTCGGAGATGGCTTGTATTTCTACGTGATTTCCGAACACGTGGTTTTGCCGTTTTCTATTTATGTAAGTGATGAAATCTTCGGCAATATAAGCAGAAAATCTTTCTTGTTTCGATTCCTGAAAATATGAAAAAGGTATTAATGAAAAATTTGTTTCATTTCCTACAATGATAAGAATATAACCATTTCTGAATAATAGATTATAAGTTATTAGTCGTCTACGATTAGTGGTGTGCATTTATTCTAGTGGAAACGAAAATTAATTGACTTAGCAACAGAAAACTCGAATGAAGAATAACTGGAGTCGAAGTAGAGAATTGTAAATTTGAAGTTTCAACTTTCGAATATCTCTACTCACGATATAATCCATGCAATCTTTTCTAACGTTTACATGCATTTCTTCGTTTCCATACACTTGATCGGCCACAGATCTGAATAGACAAGCTCCGTCACCACCCATTTTTTTCACAATGAATCCAACTTCTTGCAATCTTTCTTCAAAAGATAGTTCTTCCTGGAAGCAAAAAAGTAAATCTTATCATTGGAGAAATAAATATTAATTTTTCTTGTAAAAAAATTTATCAAGTTTTCCGAAAAATGTAAATAATAAATTTAATTATTTAATTACTTATCAATTTAATTGTCAATGCATGTGTATTTCAAAGCGATGATTATGGAAATCATATGCACAACATCGGAGAAATTTATTTTTACTTTTAAAACCATAAAAATACCATAAAATCATGGTCGTTTACGTATATTTCATTAAATATGGGGAAAATTTTTTTATGTTTTACGAAAAAGTTGTATGCTTCATTAAAATAAATTTTTTATGTCCTTCGATTTTTTTGCCAAAAAATAATAATCTAAAATTTGATTTTCTTAATGGTATTTAATAATTTTTTGTACTTTCTGCAAAAATAATGAGTTTTAGACAAAATAATCATAGGATGCAGAAAAATTTATTTTATTTTTGTCTAAAACGTTTTCTAAAATGTTGCATATTTTATGAGATTAATGTAAAAAACCAATTAATTTATGATATTCGTTATGGTTTTTAACATGAAAATCAATTTTTTAAGTATTATGACTGTGATATTCGAAATAAGAGTATCAAAATACTGAAGCATGCGTATAGTACCAAGAAAATCCGAGGTATGTATGAAAATATAATTATTTTCAATAAATTTCAAAAAATTAAAGAAGTGGCTTCAGGGACTAAGCTATACATTTAGCGTGGAATGTCTCATGCAATGATAAATAAATTTATCACCTGAATGATGTTCATCGTTGTCAAATTCATCAAAATGTAGTAATTCATCTGGAGGAAGAGGATTGACTGGTGTAGCAAAACTTGGATTCAAATATTCCAATTCTGCATCTATTGTATTTACATTGGCAGTAATAATTGAGTCCTTATGCCATGAAGTGACAAATGGAGTATCAGTCTTCTGAGAAGTTCGGTTCTTATCTATAAATATTGTTAATTTACGATATATGTGGTTTTTCTACCTAAATGAAACTAAATGAATTTATGTATTTTTTAATTCATAGTATTATAGGTTAAATTATTATTAATTTTTATTAGTAATAATTAGGAAGGAAACATGATTTATTTCGGTTAGCCCGAATTTTTACGGGTTATTAAAAACATACCATTTCTGAAAAATTTTGTGTTTTTTCAAAAATTTTGAGCACTAGATGTATTTAGAAAGTTCGTGTAGCATTCTAGTACTCGAAATCTCAAATAATTGTTAATAATAAATAAAATTAATTTTTAAACAATAAAAGATTCCAAAAACCCGACCCGAAAATTGAAAAGCCCGAAATTTCCAGGTCGGGTTTCGGGCTTTTTGCACACCTCTAATATTTTTGTAATAAATCAACTAGTCTTAAACCAGGATTTTTTTACCAATATATTGGTATTTTTAAATATTCCGGTTTCAGTTTTTAATTCGAAAACAAAATCAGTTTTTTCAGAAATCAAAAACCGGTTTTAGTTTTCAATTACGCCGAGGCCAATTTTTTTTACTATTTAGTAGGCAATTTTGGAGGTCGAATTAATATTTTTCGTCAAAAAATCTATAAGAATTACCTCCCCCATTTCACAATAGGAATAACTGAGAATTTGCAGGGCTGTGATTTAAATATTTTTGTACCGTAAAAAAATTTACCGTCATTTAAAATGAATTCCATATCTTTGTTGATATCGGATTGTTGGAAGTTTGACGCATTGTACACAGCTATCCCAACGAGAATTGCTTCATTCGTGGAATTCAAATTTATTGAGGTATCCTGCTTTAAAGATTGATTCAAATAATTTATTTGATTTGCTTCTGCTTCCAGCAATAACTTGACTGAATCCCTATTTTCCGAATGGCATCCCGATATCCAAGTGGATAAAATTTCATTATTATATGAAATTTCATCAAGGAGTAATGTAGGCTCTTCAGTTTTTGACACTGCAGTGTTATTTGATTCACCACTTGGTGGCAGTGTCTTCTTAACTACAGACTCTTTTTCTTTGATGAATATTGCAGTGCATGCCGATTCATCGAGTTGCGGTTTCTCCTCACCTGAAGGTTTTGTGAACATAATTGTGTCTTTAAAATCCTTTACTTTCGGACTGCAAGTAAAAAAATTAAAAAATATTGTTAATTGTAGAAACTGTGGACTTTAAAATCGAAAAAGCCTTATTTTTACAACTGTTTGCAGTCATTGAGGTGAATGAAATATAATGTAAATAAATATACCAAAATTAAGAAACAATAAAAATTTAATAAGTTCATAATTATTTTAACTTATTTTTTAACACAGGCGTTTAAATGAAATTTTCCAAAATATGCTTTTGTTATTGTATTTTCACTTCAAAATTACCATATATAAAAATAAAAATATCCTTTTAATTTTATAATCTTTCATTATACAGGCTAGAATTTGGTATCCTGGGTGCATTTGTACAAGTTATTTTTGATAAAATTATAGCAAACCCAATTAAAATTGATTTAAATACTTACTTATTTATTTAATACTTACTCTTTAAGCGTTATATGCGGAATGAGAAATGTCATTTCTTCATAGAAATTACATTTTATATCTGGCTTTTCATTCCGTTTAATCTTGCCATATACTCTGTCAAATGTGTCCCTCAATTGTCTCGAACGAGTCATTGTCTGTTTAGCTATAAAAATATAATAATAGTGTGCTAGAAACATTTGATGGTTAATTTTTCATTATAAACAAGATATGTGATGCGTTATTATAAGAAAGGACTCGCCTGAGTTTACATCTACTACATGATAATATTGTAATCAATAAACTCAAAAATTTATCTAGTGTAATTTAATATACACTATAGTAAAATGAACCAGCATTCACATTTAAATAATTATTTAGTGGCTGATCGGTTTAGAAATAAATATAAAATAAAAATTTGCAGGTTATGTTTACAGTGTTTCTTTCTTCATGACAGGTTTGTTTTAATTATATGAAATTAAAAACGTATTTTATTTAATTTTATTTTTATTTAATAAATGCAAGGAATTATACTTACCAGTCATTTTCTTGAATCCATTATCGCTTAAAACTTTTGAAATGTATTCCCAATCATCTTTCCTTTTGGTTTCGCGTTTCTTTGTGTTGACATATAATACTGGTTTATCTCGAACTAAGGCAATCAGTTGCTCATTTAATTGAGATGTTTCAATTTCTCTGTTTCTTTTAGACATTATAAATCATTAAATAATACTAATTATAACAATATTCATATTTCTTCATCTCACTTCAAATTTATCACAGCTGTGCAGTTCACTGTGACACTAGGGAATTATCCCAGTTCCACTGTGTCGCACTCATCGTCTGTTCCCATGGAAACATATGAGTGCAAGAAGTTCCGACATCTAGCGTGAGCAGTAACACTCTATCTGATTCACGGCGCGAACAGCTGATTACTTTACCAACTTTGTTACTTGTCCTTACCTAACCTGTGCTTCATTGAACTCAACATCGATTGTGTCGTTAATAATAAAAACATATTCTCCGTTAATGAAAATGTCTAAAAAACGCGATAATAGTAAACTAAACAAATTAATCATCGACTTGGTCAAAGATACCCCTATCTTATATGATGGTTCGGGAAAAAGTCCAGACACCGATGATGAATGGCAAAGAATATCAAATGTTCTAATTGATAGTGGTTTTTCTGATGTGGATGGTATTATTTTTTCTTTCTTTAAATTAATAATCCTGTTAATGTAATTAATACAAATAAAATTAAAGTAAATAATTTATTGTCACATTATTCCGACGGCGATCATTATAAAAGTTTTGGTTTAATTCAGTTTAATTTAATATTACTATTATTGTATATACGAGTGATTATATATTGAAATACTCTTTCTTCATGTTCTCAAAAATTTATGAACAATTACAATAATTTTGAATTTATGAAATTGTCCAATCATATTTCACTAGATTATTATTTTTTCCGGTTTTCATTATTACAACTTTTAAAGCAACTGTGTGCTATTTAAAACTTGAAAATTAGTAATTGTAGAATGTTTTCTACAATATATTAAAAAATATAAAATTTGCATTGATTGTTTATATTATTTTTCGCATTTATCTCATTAATTGCAGTTTTAAAAAATTAAAGTGTTTTCAAAGGTTTTTATAATCTAAGGTGTAATTTCCGTGACTCAAATTCAAAAGTTTAGAAATGAAAAGTCAATAGTATGTATGTAATTTCGACCTGTATAATTTTTTAGTAAAAAATTTGAGAATCAAGTGGAAGTCTTTGAGAGACGCTGAGGACTTGTAATGAGTCAAAAAAATCTCAAAATGATTTAAGCTTTTTGGATCCATATATAAGCAGGTAGGTTTTAATCTTTATACAATATTTTAAGCAGCGAAAGTCAAATTCTTTTATTCTTTAATATAGGTAATTCCAGATTAACTTTACCTCAGAATTATTTAAATTTAATTAAAAACTAAATGTACAATGTATATGAAAACTTTTTTTATAATTAGAATATAAATTGTAGTAAATAATTTTAGCGAAATTCCATAGTGTTATACATAAATTCTATAAATTATATTGACTGGGAAATGTACATTACTTTTGAAATAGCTGCAAAAAATCTACTGCTCTATAAATTAAGGCAGTTGAAGTACCACCATCGGAAATGCAGAAACAGGTGCAGAAATTTATCGCAGAGAAAAAGAAGAGAACTTTTTTTAAAAATTTTCCAGTTAAACAAGGAATCAAGAAGGAAAATGATTTTCAATTGTCTGTTGACGAGGTTCAAAAACAAATTCACGCGCACCATGAGCAATTAACCAAGCGACATACAAGTGGTAAGTTTTTTATACATAAATAAACGCTGAAATACATTAGTCATAATTTTTATTTTACTTATTGAATTTTTTATTTATCTGAAGTTTTCATCTATTTTAATTATTTTCATAAAATAAGAAAGCTATATAGTTGTTAATAATTATAAACAATTAAATTTATAAAATTTAAAAAAAGTAAGAATTAAAAATTCTCAGAAAATATTCCACAGCTTGACCAATACGCGAAGCAAAAGAAGAAGAAGATTGCAGATGATGAAAGTTGCTTCGTTCAGACCAACGAAAAATTACAAAATTTAATTGACATTTTATCCAATTATTACACAAAGAAAGGCAACCTGTTGAATGTAAATTGTCTGACTGACATGAAACAACAAAATACCCTATCACAACCGGTAGGGCATTATTATGAAAAAATGCTTATGCAAATGTTCGACGACCTGCCAGATAGAAAGAAAATTGAAGCTTTTAAAAACATCATGTCTAAAATGGAGCAACTTTCTAAGGTAATTAATTTCCTACAATTCAATCAATTTTGTAATTTAATAGTAATGAGAAATATTTTTAATTTATTTTAATCTACTTAATATAGGAAAAATTGGGGTAAACAGGCCATAGTAACGCTATTTTTATTCTATGAACTAGAGAAATAAACTGATTCTTTTTTATAATGGCTCATTTGAAAGACCATTTAATTGGCTAACTTTTTCCCAGAGACACCTCCACTTTATCTTGTATTGTTCAGTTGCTGTGTTAATTTAAAAAAAATTAAAAACTGGCTTGCCCCACCCCCTGGGTTAAATCGGACAATTTTTTTTAACTTATCTGCAAAATTTATAAAATACAAAACAGCAAAAGACATAAATAATTATATTGACAATTATTATAATAAGGAAAATAATAATAGAGGTTTAAATTTAAATTAAATTAATTAATTAAAACTCCTAAATTTTTTAATTTTCGTTTTCCAGAGTTTCGAAGCACAGTAAGGCATTTTAGGTTTCAAGCGGCCGTCGAAGTTTAGAAATCTGATCTTTTTGCTTGCGAATTTAAGTAAATGGTTTTAGTAATTTTAATAAATTAATGTATAAAAGCTATAGTTGACAACAGTTGAGCTCCACTAACCAATTTTGAAGTTATGTTGTCCTTTCTCCCCTATTTTCTGTTATTTATATAGGAAAATAATTTATTACTTTTGTAAAAGGTACGGTCAGCTCTAATAAAATTTTAACCGCAACTGTCAAATAATGCCATTAATATTTTCTTAAAATCCTGTAAAAATCTATAGAAAATCGATTTTTGGAGAAACGTACGATATATGTTTTTATTTTCTTTCAAAGCTTGACCAGATTCGAATATCATCGATTATTTCGAGATTCGATTGTGCCCATAACAGTCTATGTTGCTACCCTGTCATCCTTCAGATGTTCTAGTGATCAGCTATACCTGGCGATTCACAAGCTTGTTACCCCTAGTGGCTGATCTCTGACCGTGCCATCTGATCGTACCCTGAGATTACAAATATAACCTCACTGTGAATGCCTCTATTGTACGTTAAAAGTTTCCTAACTCCTGCGTTGTTTGATGTTTGTAGTATATAATAAAAATAGAAGAATCCAGTGTTTAATATTTATTCGTTTTCTAAACAATTTATTTCAAAAATTTAAAAAATGGCTGATACTTGCTGGGAAAACGCTTCAGATGACAGAAATGTTTTACTCATTTTATGTGTAAAAGATATGCCACACTTGTATGACAAAAACAGGACGGATTATAAAGACCCAACAAAAAAGATGAATTCTTGGGAAAAAATTGCGAAAATGTTACAAACCATGTGTAATTTTCAAGTAGATGGTAAGTATATTTTAAAATAAATAAATAAATATATATATATATATATATATATGTACTTGTTAAATATATAGATTAATTAAAATAAAATAAATAATTAGCAGTCACGTGTTGATTGTCTTTATAATTAACAAAATTAATAGCATAAGATGGAATATTTACACGGACAAACTTCATACAAATGCTTTTCATTTTTTGCCATAAGGAAGAACAATCTTTATTTATCCCTAGAAGTTTTTGTAAAAACTAAATAAATAATAAATAAATAATCTTGAATTCGTCAATGAGAATAAAAATAATTATAATTTTTTTGTGTGCTCTGAAATTCTTAGTATTTAGAGTATATAAAATATTTTTTCCACAAACGTCGTGTTGTTTTAGGAAATTGAAAACAAAATAATTTATTTAATATATATTTTTTGGTTATTTGAAAATATAAACATTAACAGAAATATTATTTTGCCACATTCATCTTAAAACAGTGTCGCTCAGAAGGTTTCAAAGGTTTTTTTTTACAAAATTTTCAAAATTTATTTTCAACTTTGTATGAAATCAAATAGGCTGACTTATTATTATTTTTTGTGCATAATAATGTATAGCAATTGAAGTTAAAGCCAGATGGAAAACTCTCAGAGAAGAGTTCTCGACAGAACATAAAAAATTAAATGAGTATGTGCCATCTGGATCAGCTCAACGAGAAAATGATGAAAAATGGTGTTATTACGACACCATGGACTTTCTGAAACCTCACATGGATCATTACAAGTAAGAAGTCATCTAATAAAAAGTACTCATAATGTTTATTTAAAAGAAAGAAAGGAGGGTCAGTTTGCCAAGAAATACAAAAGGAGATCACAAGTTTCAATTACAATATAAGTTTTTTCTATTAAATGATAATTTTTCCTATTTTCTTGTGCGTTAAGTTGTTTCTTGACTTCCATAAAACAATTGTAAGAAGTAGCAAAAATTTTTTCGGTCCGTTGAATGCTAATACAAAAATAAAAGTCGAATTTTTAAATCCAAAATGGCGGGTTTGTCCACAACATTGTATGAAAAAAATGATCGGATTTGCTTAAATCTTACCACTCAGGGGTTTTCTGGGATTCTTTAAATAATTTTTTTATGATTTTAATCAGTATGTTTAATTTATTGTCTTTATTTTCAGACATGACAGCAATTATAAAATACCAGAAACTCTTACTGACAACACATTTGATTCTGAAGACAATAATGGAGGTAAATATATTTTTATATTATTTTATGTAATAATGAAATAGGTTACTTTCTTTCACTTTACTGAATAGTAACATGTGTAACGAAAGACCTAACACAACTTTTTCCATCAGGCGTCATTTTTGTTTTTTCGTAATGTTAATGATGAAAGTAGAAAAAATGTATTTTTATTTCCCAAAAGGCTTTCGAGGACGCCTTTTTCAGCGTCAAAAATTAACAGTGATTATCCTTATTCTTTTATTATTATTCTTCTATCAAATTTCTATCAAAAAATTTTTTATTTCTTCAAAAA